CCCCCACCCTCTCTCTCTCTCTCTCTCTCTCTCATTTGTCATCGCGAATGATAAGAGTTTTCTATTAGTGATGAAATCATTGAAAATTTGACGGTACATAAATTCATAAGCAGCCAACCGGCAGGAAAATTGCGGGAAGGAATGGACAAAGACCCGCGAAGATATTCTTTATCGTAAAACCAAAAAAAAAGAAAAAAAGTCCATTCAAAATTATACATAATTGTGTTGGATGAGACTATGTTTTGAATGAATCTTTCACTTTTAAGATAAATATCAAAGAAAATTTGCGATGTAACTTGGAGGCAACTCTTTCACAACTTTTTCTATCTAGTAAATGAATCATTGTAACAGATATTTCAAGAGCCCGGCGCACATGTGCACATAGACGGATAATAATGATCTTAGCAGTTTCACTTTTCCTAGAAAAGCAAACATCTTTATCCTGTCGACTCCGGATAACAAGGAAATCAATCCCACAAATTTCACCATAAGTCCATATGAGACTCATTACTAACATCAGAAATGTAGCCAGGTAGTAGTGCTGAAGTAAGTGCAATGAGAGGAGAAAATGCATTCGTTATTTTCAGAGAAGAGAAACAAACCGGAAATATAGCAGAAGAAGTGAGAGACTGGGAAGGTCAAAAAGAGACCGCTAATAGCTGTTTCAAAATGACTTTGAAACACAAACACGTTTCGAGTTTGCAGTTATTATCTCGTGACAATTTTCTCAAAATAATGAGCGGAAGAGAACGGTAAGATTATCCAGTACGAAGGTTATCTATGGTTATATTAATGGTCAGCATTCATGGTCATCAATAGGTAAGGTAGCTCCCTCGCACAGTCTGCTCTCCCGATTACCTATATATCACAGTCTCCTTGTAAAAAAGATAGGTAGTAATAGTAAGGATTACAGACTAAATCAGATATACTAAATGATATAATAAACAATTCGAAATGCACTGGCAAGATGAATTTCCAGTGCTACCACCCGGCACGAAAATCGATTAAACCCTCATTATGCTATGCATTTGTCCGTATTGTATCCATCGTGATAAGAAAGTGATCAGATAAGATTCGGTAAGAAAGATAAAAAGTATAAGAGAAACTGCAGCACATTTTTAAAAAAACTTCTGACTTTAAGTCACTTTAATATGAAAGACAATTGTCCGATCACATGTGATAAGAGATAAGATAAACGATAAATGAATAAGATGACCTGGCAAACCGTAGATGCTTAACAAAGCATATTGTTGAAGAGCGATTGCTTAAAACAAAAGTTGGAAATGTCGCAATTTTTGTCCATATCATGACAGGACACGTCGGCAAAAGTGCAAGTACAAGAAGAGAACTGTTATCAAACTGATAGAATATTTCTTGGTTCTTTGGTAAAACCCATCTCAGCAATGTTTTAACGAAAAAAATGACAAAACATGTTGATTTCATGTGATAGAATAAGTCTCCCGAAATGAACGAATGAATTTCGGTGAAGAAAGGCTCTCATTTTTAATGTTCAATTCTTTACGTTACGCTAACTTAAATGTAATGCACAAACGTAGAAGCATAATCCATAAAAAGTAAAACCGAAGTAATTATTTTATGAAAAAACGAGTTAAGGTAACTGCCGAATTAAAAAATAACTTTGGTTCTTCAGTTGAAATCTCGAGATAACTTATATTTAATAAATCGTTTGGCTTACCATACATATATATATATATATATATGTATGGTATGTAAAATATATGTAAATGCCAAAAATGTACAAAATAAATGTGAAAAAAAGCCTAATGAAACAGAGAAAATTGAAATAATTGAATTCTATTTAAACTTATCTGTATTGTACAGTAGATGGCACAAATAATTTAGTGTGTATTTTGGTATTAGAAAAAGTTCGAAGAAATCGCAACCAAAAGCAGCTGAAAAAAAAAATTGGTTTCAACTTTACATACTAAAGGACTAACTGTAACGAAGACAAGAGAGGCGGTTCGCTTCAATCTGATAATATTTGAACGAAATTTTAGTACTACGATCAATATTAAATTCCAGTTGCTCTCTTGACTGAGGTAAAAGTCTTTTAAAATTTCGGTTTATTCAAAAAGGCTAAAAAATCTCCATATTTTAATAGGAATTTTAAATATTTGCAAGAACTGGTGACTAGTCAACTCAACCATATTAACCCATGGGCTCTGGGTTGATTTTCCGCAAAACCTTGCAAGTTTTTTTTTCTTTGTTAGAAATGTTCTTTCAAAAGTGAAAGTTTCCTTTCTCCTCTGAGTTTGAGTTCAAAAGTCACTTTGATTTGTCACATCATATTTGACTTTTGATTTTATCAATAAAAATGTTACATTTCATCGTTTTTTTTCGCTAAATGACAATTCAAATAGAAAAGGAATTGCCAATTTCGAATTAATAAAAGTAGAGGAATTTCAAGGGATTTTCATCTTCAACAAAACTTTATGCTTCACTTCACCACATTTCCGGGGTATTATAGGGAAAAAATTTTCTCAATTTATGAACACAAAATTCTAAAAATTTTAAACATTTTATATCTGCAAACCTACAGTGATCCCAAAGTGAAGTGTCATTATTGTATCCATACTAAAGAACTCCTCTTATTCTCTCTAAGTTTCTAAAGTAAAATAACCGATGGACTCAATCCCAGCGGAGAATCCAGACGAAATCGTGAGAGCGCACAAAATTATTGGGGCCAGAAGGTGCTTGAAGTAGATTACTTATTTTCATTCAGACAGATGCTTCAATGAAATTCAATGACAAACCTGACTTCTCATCTAGACTGACCACACACATCTAGAACTAATTACATCTAGCCCTCAACTTGACCTTTTGTGGACAGAATACGGTAATATTCTTAAAAAACAAGGAAAAGGCAAAGAAATATGATCGTCAAAATGGAATGAGTTCATTTGCCGTCCTGTGGTGGGTCGAAGAGACTGTTCCCTTATGGTAGGAAAAACACATTTCATCATTGAGTTTCCAGGTCAGATAGGTGGTGAGATGAGGAATTGCTTCTGGCACTGAATGTATAGTCTTAAGTCCAGTAATTTTCCAGTGCACTTCTTCGCAACTCATTTATACATTCCCAGTAATATTAAATAAGAAGTTGTAGTTGATGTATCACTTCATTAGCCAAGAGAGGTGGATAGCTAATGAGTAGAGGGAGTATGAGAAAGGAAAAATCATCCTTGTATGGAATAACAATGATCGAACTTATTCCTTAAGTTTGACTTTTTCATGTTGAGATTAAAGTTCATGAGTTGCTATATAATTTTCAGTAATTGTTCCGAAATGGAAAAGTTTCAATAGAAAAGTTGAGCTACTCGACTTTTGGTTTTTCGATTTGTTACTCTCTGAACAGTAAGCTAAGCCGAATCTAACTTTCGACCTTTCACCTACACAACTCGGACTTAAACTTTTATTTCCAAGCTTTATCGAAATGAAGTCCACCTTGGAATCATAAAATTTATTAGAACTTTCTTTACTTTAGGTTTCAAAAAACTGAAAAAAAAGAAACGGAGCAAAGCGTTTGCTAATGGTAAAGGAGAAGAAACCAACAGAACTTGAAACTTTCGATCAAATCTCCAGCACTTTCACATAAATGTGAAGTAGCAAATAAAACTTGAACTATGTTCCCGCGGAATTTTATATTCAAAAAACTCTGTTAAATGCACGATAAAAACAGAGTACAATTTGAGCACACAAACTCAGATATATTGCACACACATAGAAATGATATCGTTCAATGATACCATAAATTTATTATCGATTCATTTTCAACGCGATACATTTTTACTGTCTTCCAAAGGGAAAGAAAGGGAAAATGTAGTGAAGAAGTATATTCTCCCTTTCTTTGATGATGACTGATTGAGGTTGTGAGAAGGAAAAAAAGTTAGAAAGAAGTTTAGAATCCAAGGAGGAACTAAAGAGTTTAGAATCCAAGGAGGAACTAAAGAGAAAGCTTTCTATTTCTCATTTCCTACTATCAACTTGTCAGCAAAGGAAAATACAAAAATCAATTTTTACATTTGTGTTCTTTTTCATGTTTGGAAAGGAAAAGTAGAAGTTATCGATCTTTAAAGTTATGTTGCTCGAAGGATTACTACTGGAATTAAACACATCGTTCCAGTAATAAAGAGATGTTCTTGAAAGCAGTTGCTATGTAAAGTTTCGTTGATAAGGGATTGAAATGTATATAGATGTGTATTTTAATGTCCGTCAACAAAATCTTCATCATATTTGTGCACTCTCGCGATTTTGAACGTTGATTATTTTAGAATTTGCTTTTTTTGTTGGAACTGTTTTAACGGTTTGGGAAGGGAAGGGAGTCAGTCAATCAACTCTTTAAAATCAGTATAAAGGGTATATTCTCTAGATTTCTCGAAATTTAACAAGGTCCTAAGTATCTTCATAATTCATTATGAACATAATACATTAAAAAATTCCAACTTACGATGACGACATTTTCGTTTGCTCTTCACTATTCCAATCTTTAGGATTAAATTTAACTGAAACTGTGCGAAATTTGAAGTTACATAAAGAATTAAGTTGACAAAAATTGTCGACATTATACTATGATAAAGGTGATAAAAATATGACAGCTGAGAACACTTAAACGTTTAAATGAAAATTTTTTTTCAGAATACTTACAACTAGTTTGTGACTAATTCTTAAGAAGTTTCTGAATTAAATTTTTTTTGATGCAATTCAAACATATTCTTATTTCGTCAGAAATCGTTTCTATTCAAAATTTTGTAATATTTTAAGAAATAGAGGAAGAAATCGAGCATTATGACTAATAAGAATGGAAATCAAGTCTTTAGCGAGAATCTAGTGTAATCCAAATATCGTTGCAGATCTGAAGGTAAGGTTATCCAAACAGTGAAAATTCAATTTGCATTGGTACCAATCTTTCGATCATGCAGTAAAGTTCTTATTAAATGTATTAAATTAGAGAAAAACGAGTCACTTTATTAAATTCATTTTGTTTCGAAATTTGCATAAAAATTGTTAAATATTAATTCAGATCAAGCGACAGAGCATGCTTGGTGGTTTAATATCCATATTGGTCTTTAAATGGCGGAGTTGCCAACGACAAAAGCAATTTCGAAAAGAATGCTTTTAACTGCCTAAGGAGAAATTATTTTTCTGATTTTAGGATTTAGCTAATGTCACAATTTAGTGATAAATTTTAAATTATTTTAAAAAGCTTGGATGGAATAGTTTGAAGCATTTTAGGCAGGGATAATTACCAACATTATTTTAATTTAAAGTCATTTCCGGTTATAGTTAACAAAGGAAATGCTAATTTTAGACTTAATTTGTTTCGTCGTAAATAGCGAAGCTCTAGGAGCTTTCAAGCACATAAAAAAAATCAGAACCTAACGGTAATGGAAATGGTTAGAATTTAATTCTTTGTTGGAAACAGGCTGAAGGATTAACTATTAAAGCAGCAATTATCTAAATGTGTTGAAATTAAAATCAGATAAATAGCCCTTCGGATTAGTTAGCAAACACCCACAGACGTTTGAACTCGAAGAGAAATGGTGCAACCAAATTAATTGCAACCGAACATTGGAATTGGTGTTGTCAGACGAATGAACTGATAAGTTATGACTTTTCCAACAATTCCTTTTGCTTATAAATAATCTTGAGGTGTCGCTTTTGCAAATTTTTTACAAATCTTTTTAGAAATTTTTTGAAAAAATTCCACAAATTCATCGACTTTAGAAAATTTATTTAGGTTTCACTAAAATAATCTGCTGCTTGATACGCAGGCTGCTTTCACTTATCGATCTGAAAAAAATATTTCAAATTTTAGGAAAAATATTGAATTTCCGTCTCCTTAAACTGAGCAGGTTGAAACACTTATCAAAATGAAACAAAGAAATTATTTCTCAGGATCCGGAATTCTAATCAAAACCAGCTTTCGTGGAGCCTAATATTGAACTTTGACATTAATGGTACGCCGAATTTCTCCTGGTATTTCATCTAAAAAAAACTGTGTGTTTTTTTATTGCTATGGAAGGGGGATTAAAGTTTAAATTGTTTGGTAGATGCAAATATGTTTTGAACAGCTGAAGGGAAAGTTGACGATATGAATTCGCTTCACAGACAAGCCAAAAAGGGTCCTACAAATTAGTCCTAGCTTCCTATCCTTCAGCACTTGACACTAAAATTACACAAATGAATAAACTTTCTTCAGCTGTCCAAAACATTTGTGTGTTTACCTTTGCTTTAATTGTCCGCACACGAATAGTTGAAACACGAATAGTACACATGCTCTTTACCAGAACAAGGAAATATCTCTTTTTAATGCACCGGAAAAGTACCGAGCGGCGAAATGATTCGAAATGTCGTAAGTGCAAAATTTATACCAGCTCCTGAGGGTGTGTAACAGTTGCACCACAGCTCTTCAGAGAAAGCATCCTATAACCAATGATATTTGCTTCAACTCTCATCTTCTTGAAATAAGAAGAGCTGTTTATTGTTGGTTTAATATCGATTACAAAATAATTTTACAAAATATTTCAAGCAAGAAGTACAAAAAGTCTGCATCTCTGTTACATTCGAACGAATATAGCACGAATAATTATCATTTCTCTTCAGCTATCATAATAAATATAGTGAACAACACAAATGAAAGCACCAAATACTGTTTTTTAACTTTTAATTTTATGCTTATTTGGTAATGTTCTGATCTGGATGCTGCCACTGTTGTATTCTGGAAGCCACTTATCGATTTAGCGGTCCATATATCGATTTCTATCATCATATATTGCATTGCAATATGTTGTCTGCATATGTGTGTTTTCAACAGCTTGATAAAACAGGAAAGCTCCTCTGCGAAGTTATAGGTAGTAGCTGTCAGCATACCCTATAAACATGTTTTAAAAGCACTGAACCTCAAGGGGAAGAGAATAATTGTAGAATAATGAAGATAGTCGAAAACAATAAAAAAGGCTTCGACTGAAATCAGTAGAACATTTTAACTGATACATATGCACTTTCAGTTGAGATCCTCCAAAATAAAGAATGTGGAAGCAGAAGAAAAAGAAACAAGAACAAGTTACCTTCACACGGACTTTCATATCAGTAAAGAACATATTGCCAGAATGAATTTGTAACAGTTGGGCGCTTGTACAATGCCTACCATGGAATGGAAAAATGTGGAAGGAGTGTCAAGGGTCCAGAATCTGTTTTAACCTGATTTTATGAAAATGAGAACTGGGCTAAGACAGCAAATCAACTTCATGTAAAAGTGACTAACAATATGAAAGAGGCAAAACAATCCAACACGGACACCACTACTCTCGAATTCTCAACCACTCGAAGAGCCGAAACTTGAATTCCCACCACCAATTTGGCAACATCGAGGTATTTTGTGGCATGTAGAGGGCCGTTTTCTTAAAACTATAATGGACGGTTCGGTTGGCTTATATTTCAGGTTGGGTGACTGCTTTGTTTTGATGATGATCAGTCGTAAAATATGCTCATCTGGATAAAAAAAGGCTCTACAACCCACGTAGCTGTCCTACAATCTATTAAAATGTTGACAGCACTTGTGATCAAAAATGTTTGTGTCATCGATTATTGGTTGCTCTGACTGCGGCGAGTCATGTTTTGCAGCAGATGGTGCATTGCGCGACTTTACTTTACGTAACTTTAATAGAATTTTCAAGATAATTGGTCGTGACTGGGAGATGGCTTCAACGTTAACAGTTAAAGTACATCCGGTTGTATATTTGACTATTGTTGATGCATTCGAAAGACGCTCGAACAAGCCGGGTGCTAATGACAAAGCGTTGGGCACGTTGATGGGATTCTATGAAAAGAATGCTGTTCAGGTAATACTGTTGCTTCATTGGATTAAATTTCGAACTATGCCAAAATCCATGAACAGATCTAAACGGCTTACTCTTATTGACCAAAGGTTGACTGTCAATTAACATGAGCTTTGCTGCTGCTTGGTTGTAGAGTACTTGTTAGGAACAACGGTAACGTTAGCCTGATTCAGCAGTGGAAATAGTTTCTCATTCGTTTCATGTTGTTGCTAATGTCATCGTAGATTGAAACTCATCTGTTTACGAATTTCGTTGTATGGTACCATATGGAAGTCACAAAAACTTAGTGGTTCATTCATTTCTCTATGCATTTTCAGGTAACAAATTGTTACGCTATACCGTTCCGAGAACAAAAAGAAGATACACCGGAATTAGACGATGGCTTTAATCAGACAATGTTAATGATGATGAAACGGGCAACACCCTCAGAACAACCAGTTGGATGGTACAGTTAATTTAGTTTTTGGCATCATTCCCAAGCTAAACTTTCTTGCTGTCTTAAATGCTGACTGATCTTTACTAATATTTCTATAAACCACGTATAAAACAAAATTAGTCGTTGGTATAATCCATTCGTAAAGGGGATGTATTAACTGAACAAAGCCGATAAATACTTTATGCGGGAATGAAGCGTACTGACGTGACATTTTTTTTGTGCTTCTAAGTGACGGGCACATTAAAGCATTGCACCAATGTCGTATTGGTACGATGACAAACGTTTTTCACAAAACAGCAAAACCTCTTCTAGTCTCATTAATAGCTTTATTCCTAGTTCGCTGTTTAAAAAGTGAAAGGTTGTATCAATATAAAAAACCTGGTCCAAGTGTATTCAGACCAGGATCGTCATTTACAAAAATTTATGTTTTCTGTTACTGCAGGTTTTACACCAACGCCGATTTGTCAATCCACTGTTTGCCATATCATGATTATTATAATCGTTTGATAAGCGAATCATCAGCCAAGAAAGAACCGCCGCCAGTGATCTTGCTTACCGTTGACACAACCTTCAGTTCATCAGATGAAAATTACCGGATGCCTGTGCGAGCATATTTGAGGTTGATTTCTTTTCCACTAGTTTTGGGTTTCATCTTCTGATGAACTTACCAAAAATATTCAGAAACGTCCATCCGTTGTCATAAATTCCAATTTTATAGGGTTAAAGCTGGGATTCCTGGAACTCGAGATCCACACTGTGCCATTTTCAATCCATTGAAAGTTGAATTCGATGCTTTTCCTGGTGAAGGTGTTGCGCTAAGTTTAGTGCAGGGTGGTACGGCTTATAGTAACAAGCAGCGTGAGGTTGTTCTGGAGAGCGGTTTGGAACAGCTTGAGAAAAGTATGGGTGAAATGGTAATCTGGTTGGAGAAGCTTTTAAAATATGTGAACAAAGCAAGTGTTGTTACTATTATCACTTTTTTCATTATACGAAATCAACTCAGGATCGCTATACGTACAAACAAAAAGAAAATCTACTTACCTCACAAGCAAAAGATGCGAAATGTATAGTGCGTAATACTTGCATGTATGAGAAAGTACCTGAATATGAAAGTTAAAGGAATTTCTCTCTTTATGGAAGAGTGCGTGCTTTGACTTTTCCACTTAATTTATTTACTTGTAATTTGTGTGCTTTAGGTGCTTCAAGAACCGGAACTACCCGTTGATTCGTCGTTTGGACGACGCATGATGGATATCGTCAGTATTGCTGCAACTCACATGTCTGATGAAAAATTGGATGTACTAGTTAAAACAAGTTTAAGGGTGAATATTTTGTTTTGTGAATTTCCTCACAAGTTTATATTTTACATCCAAACTTTTCATTCCTGTTTTACACTCGCTGCACTGATTACTTCAGCAGTTTTGATTAAATGCTATTACTTATCCGTGAAGCTGTGCTTTTATAGTGTGCAAACTCTTGTTTTTTGCAGGATTACATGATGATTTCATATTTGGCAAGCTTAACGAAAACACAGCTTTCACTGCAAGAACGCTTAGTGGCTCTGTGAAAAGACGTTTCTAATCTTTCCAACGAAAGCATTTTTATCGTTACTTTAAGCAGTCCATGTTTAACAATACGTGTTTAAAGTAACCATATAGATGCTTTCGTTGAAAAGACAATGAAAATGTTGGACGTTTGTATTCACTACACATTTTATATTCTTATTTTAATATGATCACTTGTAGCGAAGTTTATTCATAATTAAGGCATCTAGAATATGAAATTTGAAATTGCATGTTTCTACTTTCTCAACTTTTCACCATTTATTAGTTGTCATCATGAAGTTCTAGACAAAACTGCAAAGGAACAAAAAATATGGTATTATTTCACACAAGAATTTTTTTTTTGGCGTTCTGTTCGAGATTGCAATTTGTTGCCTTTTGAATTGTTTTATTCTAATAAAAATAAAAAATTGTGGTTGCTTTCGTGTCTTCAAGCGTAGCTGTAACCATTTTGATATTTTCTATTTGTGGATGTCTTCATATGCAATAGTTACAAATTCCATTTCGACACCCACCATTTGTCCGTTTGACGGAAGAAGTTATATTTCTCTCTGTAATGGCGAGTCTTTGGAAATCGATCCGCATTTTTGTTCCTGTCTGCACTTTTCTAATTGATATATGAAGTTTTAGCAGCAGTGTAATGAGCTAATAACAATTATTAAGAAAACGCTAATAATTTTAATCATTACAAATTAATTTCAATTAATAATATATGACTTCTGTTGATTTTAGCCGGATGCTGTTTTGATTTTAATTGAATTAATTATGTAGAATGTAGAGAGGAATGAAGGGTTGGGTATTTCCAGTAAAAGTTGTTAGATGAAGGGGTTTCAAGTTTATTATATTCAATTATCTTAGGTCTTTTTAAGAGCTAGGATGTTTCGTAAGATTTAAAATATTACAGAAAAATTCCACTCTTTGACGATGACCAGTTCAGGAGGGGATGATTTGCAAAGAAATGTGTTCGGCACGCTGTTGTCGCGGAGGGATTTGTCAGGTTCGTTTTCCTGTTGGTAAACAGTACAATAAAATAAAGTAACTAGGAATTGTATTGCAGTTGACTATTTCTATTGAAATACAAGTTCATTTGAATTTCTGTTTTTAATTAGGACAAAAAATGTTGACTCTGGCTAATCACTTGTTTGGTGTTTACTACTTACAATCATGACTTTACTAAATGAAAATAAGAGACATGATTTTGATGGAAAACAGTTCTACTTATCACTGAATCTATATGGCAGTACGAAAGACCATTGTAAATTCGGGTTCAACATCTGTCCTTATCATCTTAGTTTCGTTGATTAAATTTTTTCGAATTTGACTTCGTATTATAGTTTTTTTTTGTGGTCACGAACTCATTGTAATTTCAAAGCATATATCATTTTTCGAAGATAAAATCATTTGTTTTGCTAAACATCTGTGCTAAGTACCGTCATGTCACCTCGAGAGAAGAGCTGGAGAAGTTGGGAAATTCTGTTAGTTTTAGAATAACTGTGCTTTTAAATTAATAGAGTTTTTTGCCCGTAATTGTAGATGGTCTTGATAGTAAAAATTAATAAGTCGTGATACACTTGTGGTCATGATTTTCTTCAGCTACATCTCTCGAAAGCAGTGGTAGTGAAAAAGCAT